GCTTACCCTGCCTCCGCGCAAAGTAAATCAGATCTCAACATGAAGCTGGTAAGGTTTTTTGTTTTTTTTGTTTGTTTGTTTTTGTTTTAGTTTCTTTTTGGATGGACGAAAACATTTTGCTTATGATTTAGATCATGTGAATTATATCAACTTTTTCGAAATTAATCTTTTTGGGTAGGTAGTCTTCTTTAGGGGTCCATGAAGCACCATGAGAAATTTGACAATGAATTCCTCTATTTTATCTTGCTTGGTTCCAGTAAATTGGAATTGTTCAAGAGTTCATACAGCAGGTCGAGATGCCGTCTGTGTTTACACATATACATACATACATACATACATATATATATATATATATATATATATATATATATATATATATATATATATATATATATTTTATCAGATATTTGAACTCTTAGATTCAGTGTAAGTCTACTAACTGCTTTTCTCTCGGCAGCTGTCGATGGCACTGGCCTTGATTGTGGCCCTGACTGGCCTTCTGGGCTGGACCAGCGCCATGCCTGACCCTGACCCGGTGGCTGACCCTGACCCGGTGGCTGACCCGTCAAGATTCTTCGGCGGGGGCGGTGGCTATGGACACCACGGGGATCCTTCGGCAGGCCTTCGGCACGGGATCCTTCGGCAGGAGATCCTTCGGCACGGGATCCTTCGGCAGGGGATCCTTCGGCAGGGGATCCTTCGGCAGAGGGGGTCACGGTTCCTTAGGCTTCAGCAGGGGCAGGGGCTACGGTGGCTGGTAGTAAAAACATGCCGACTGCCCTTCAACAGACGTCCGTGAAGCAGAAAGCAATATGGGATTCTGATCCCGTCAGATTTCATTCGAGTGTTTCGGTTCTTTCTGTTTTCATTTGAAATAAATCTTATGCATTGCTCTTCGGATTGGATTTCCCTTCAGTCGCCGGTACGAATCGGACTAGCGTAGCCTTCACCTAAATTGGTATATAGATAAAATGCTTTCCTCTTTCTCTCTCTCTCCCTCACTCCTCTTTCTCTCCCTCTACCCCCCTCCTTCCCTCTCTCTCTCTCTCTCTCCCTCTCTATTTATCTACCTCCCTCCCTCGCTTAATATAAAATGACTATCGACTTCCTTCCACGATAGTCTTAAAAGGCAGATTGCATGAAATTACTTCTGCAGAGATATAAATTATAAACAAAATAGGAATTTTGTGAACATGCATTATCTATAAATTTACACAATATACCATCTCAGAACAATGGTGATCACTGCCCATCAAACAATGATAACAAAATAATAGTGATGATAAAACAAATAGGAACAATATCTTCAGAATCAAAGTATTTACACACAATATGCATACATAATCACATGGCATATATATAAATATATATATATATATATATATATATATGTATGTATATGTATATATATATATATATGATATATTTGTATATACATATATGTTTAAGTATATATATACATATATCTATATCTATATACATATATATACATATATACATTACCATATAGGTTTTTTTTCATTATTTACGTGCTATAGCATACATACGTAAATAATCACATGTATGCATATATATATATATATATATATATATATATATATATATATATATATATATATATATGTATGTATGTATATATACATATAAATATATATACATATATAAACATTCATAAATATATATATACATACCTATATGTACATATAAATACATGTATATATACATATACATACATATATATGTGTGTATACATAAGTGTATATATATACATATATACATGTGTGTATATACACATATATATATTTATTCATATATATACATATACCCAAAAATACATGTATATGTATGTGTGCGTGTTTGTATGTGTGTGTGTGTGTGTGTCTATATTTCCTATATATATACATATGTATATATATTTGTGTGCGCGTGTCTCTAAATGTGTATATGTATATAGATATATAACTGAGTGCATATAAACACACAAGCACACCCACACACCCGCACAAAAATACATAATCATATCAGGTGTGCCTAACTAATTGGCGATCGTCGGGTGAATCACAGATTTATCTTAAATCAATCGCACTGCTGATCCTTCTTCTATGTGTAAAATATCAATGAACATTTCCTCATATGCTGACATATGCGATAGTCGTTTCAGTGCGAATAGATAACAGATCTCTCTCTCTCTCTCAGTTCTTCAGTACTGTCGTTTCAGTACGAATATAGATTGCTAACATCTCTCTCTCTCTCTCTCTCTCTCTCTCTCTCTCTCTCTCTCTCTCTCTCTCTCTCTCTCTCTCTCTCTCTATCTATCTATCTATCTTTCTCCTCTCTCTCTCTCTCTCTCTCTCTCTCTCTCTCTCTCTCTCTCTCTCTCTCTCTCTCTCTCTCTCTCTCTCTCTCTCGCTATTTCACCCTCTTTCCCTTTTCTATTTCGTTGTAAGTAGACAAAATGTAATTCTTTTAAGGAGCCATGCGGGTCTTTTCGGGGGCCATATAATTCATTTTAGGGGCTGTGCGACTTTTTAAGGGTGGCACGCGGTTTGTTTTTAGGGGGAGGCCATGCGGTTATTTTTAGGGGCAATACGAATCTTTTTAGGGGCCATAAGTTTGTTTATGTGGTACTTTTTAGGGGCCATGCGATTTTTAGGCCTGTTTATTTTAGGGCCAGGGTCTAGGCAGTTAGGGGCCATATTTTTTTAGGGGGGGCCAGGGGCTTTTTATTTTAGGGTCTATATTTTAGGGGCCATGCGATAATATTTTAGGGGCCATGCTGGGCGTTATATTTAGGGCCATGCATTTTATTTTAGGGGGCTTAATTTTTTTTTAGGGTCGGTATATTTTAGGGCCATGCGATTTTGTTTAGGGGGCCTAGGCGTTATATTTTAGGGCCATGATTTTAGGGTCTAGGCAGTTTATTTTAGGGGCCATGCGATTTTTTTTTTTTTTTTTTTTTTTTTTAGGGTCTAAGCGGTATATTTTAGGGGCCATGCGATTTTGTTTAGGGGGCTGTGCATTTATTTTTAAGGGCATGCAGTTCCGTTTAGGAGGCCATGCCGTTCTTATTAAGGGGCCATGCGGTTCATTTTCAGGCTATATGGTTCTTTTCAGGGGAGTATGTGCTTTTTGTTCACGTGTTTATGCACTTTTCAGGGACATATGGTTCTCTTAAGGGGTCCAGGCAGGTTCCTTTAGGAGGCCATAAGTTTTTTATTTATTTATTTATTTATTTATTATTATTATTTTATTATTAGGGGGGGGAGGGGTTCTTTTTAAGGCCATGTACAATGTAGACATCTTAACCTCGAATGGATCGAATTTGTCTCGCCCGGTTCTGCTCACAAATATCTTTCACAAAACGATAAATTGGAATCGTTTCATATAACCTTGAAAATAGGGGAAAATCGAAAAGAAAAGAAAAATGAAAAATGCTTTGAGCCAAAAGCGACTATTGAAACGAAAAAAAAAGATACTCGAATAATCAATGTTCTTTGTCTGCAATATATGTATATATATATATATTTTTTTTCATTTCTTTTCTTCTTTTTGAATTTCTTCTAGAATTCACCATGGTTTTGTAATCTGATATGGAGCTCAAATGCCTCCCCTTTTCATTCTTGCTTATTTCATTTTTCATCTTCTAATTATTATATTATTATTATATTATATTAGTAGTACTTTATTTTATTTTATTTTTTCATTACTGAATTAGTCTTATCGTTTTTACGTTATCAGAATTAGTCTTATCATTTTCCATTGCTTATCTAATTTTGGAAATGTCTTTGTTCTGTAATGGTAAATACCTTTACTTAATTCCATAATTATACGTCATAATATGTACTCTACATAGATATGGACCAAAGACTGTGTAAAACTAAAACTATTTCCTCTATTACATTCATATATAAAGATGATGTAATGTATAAAAAAAGATGACTCACTGTCACTGGAAATGATTAATTTATCGACAAATTTACATTAATTAGATAATTAGCATAAACCAACAAATCGGCTAATTTAGTAATGAGAAAGATTTTTTTAATATCATTATTAATAAGATAATTAGCATATGCAAAAAGTTGCCTTCTCATATAACCGCACTGTGTAAGAAATGTAAATTAATAAACAAAGAAATGCGTAAACAAATATTTATGAAAATTTTGAAAAAAGGAAAATCTAAAGAATAAACATAAACGCCAAACGAGATTACAAAAAACGGGGAAAACCAAAAAAAAAAAAAAAAAAAAAAAAAAAAAAAAATAGTCGAATAAATAATGATCTTCCTTTGAAGAATACTCGAGTAAATAATGTTCTTCCTGTCTTTGTCCGCAATAGGCTTTCTTCTTTTCGAATTTCCTTTCAGAATTCCCAATGGCTTTGCATTCCGAAAAGGAGTTTCAATACCTCCTTCTTTTATTCGTACTTTTTCACATTTTCGAATTAGTTTTCGATCATTCCCCAGTTTCCATCAATAAATTCGCAATCAACCATCAAATGCCTCCCCTTTTCATTCTTGCTTATTTCATTTTTCATCATGTCCTAATTATTATTATTATTATTATCATCATTATTATTAGTACTTTATTTTATTTTATTTTATCGGAAAGCAAAGTCCCAGTGTAGTTTGCACAGAGACGTACGCTCATACATTTAGTTGTTTTTCAGTTGTATTTATTTACTTTTCCATTGCTTATCTAATTTTGGAAATGTCTTTGTTCTGTAATGGTAAATACCTTTACTTAATTCCATAAATGGAGTTTCAATACCTCCTTTTATTCTTATTTTTTCACATTTTCGAATTAGTTTTACGATCATTCCCCAGTTTCCATCAATAAATTCGCAATCACCTTTAGCCTTTTTTTTTTTTTTTTTTTTTTGCGAGGAATTCGACAGCCAAAATGAGAATGACCTTGAAAGTGGGTCATCTGAGGTTTGGAAGTCCCGATAGACAATGCACTTATTATTGACCTTGGATTTCGTTTGGCCGTGTATATAAA